GTCCCAAAAGGTGAAGACGGTTGTGATTGGGATTTTGATTTTGATTACGATTTTGATTTCCTTTTGCTTGGCACCATATGAGCTTTGGATTTTGATGAGGATCCATATTTTGTTAGAGGAAAAGATGATTGTGATGGCACTGGTGATCCACAAGTCAACCTTGTATAACCACTTTCCTTAAACCGACTACATGTCGATATCCTCTTCTCTTCACCCTTAGATGATATACGATCGTGATTTTTTGGTCGGCCAGGTAGTCTGCTGTCCATGACTGGTGGCAAAATTATTTTTAAGTCATCTGGTATGTCCCACTCAGAAGGATGTGGAATAGGGTAGACAATCTTGGCATAAGTCTGTTGATATACTTCTGTAGTGTAGCAATCCATAGCGTATGCGCTTGAATCATCTTGGTTTAGATGAAGAGCAACTTTTATAACATGGCCACATGGATAACCAGATGTTTGCCATTTCATACAACTACACGTCTTTGCATTTAGATCGACAAGCCCATTTAAGTTATTATCCAATACTTCAAACAAAGTGTTTGAACATGGTTCAACTCTCCATGACGTTGACTTAACAACACGTTTCGTTATCTTTTTTTCAGTCCATGGTGTAACACGACGTTCCAATGTTCCTGTAAATTTAAATAAATAATACTTAGTAAAATATATGATAAGTTACAAATTTAAAGAAATAATACCTGCATGGTTTTTTTTTCTTGTAGTACCACTGTTGAATAGAGACTCAAAAAAACTCCATTAACATAGTAATGGGTAATTTCCGGGAATGACGACTTAGAGCGTTGATTGATTCTACACTATTAGACGTCATGAAACCATATATTTCTCCAAGTTGATGTACTCTTGACCATATTTCAAACCCGACATCTTCTATTGCTTGAGCACATTGAGGCAAAATACGTCTTAAACAATTTATATGCTTATTAAAATTCACTTCCCGATAAGCTTTTACAACCTTCCAGTATGTCCGTTTGTGATTTTTTATACCAGCAGACCTTGATTTTAGATTTCTGTACAAATGAACACCACAAAGTCCATGAAAAGCATCTGGGAAACACCTTCTAACAACGTTGTCAATTGAGTTTTCCCTATCGGATATGATTGTCAGATTACTAATAGGACCTATGCAATCCCTAAGATACCCCATAAACCATGTCCATGAATCAGAGGTTTCAGATTTGCCAACCCCGTAAGCTATTGGCAGTATCCCATTATTGGCATCCATTGCTACTGCTAATAAGTTTACTCCAAGGTATCGACCTTTCAAATGTGCTCCGTCAACTATAATAACTGGGAGCATGCAAGTAATAAACGAACGAATCTATAAAATAATATACACAAGACATAATCATTTAAATGTGAAATGCATGTAACTTACAAAAATGAGTCAACAAAATTATATTTATTTACTAACCGCAGCACCAATAGCGATAAACAGCAACTCAAAGCGTCCATCTCTATATGTTTTGATATGAGTTACCGACCCAGGATTTTTCAGCTTTAAATTGTGACAATAAGCCGACAGTTGGGCAAACGATGCTTCTGGAGACCCCCTCAACAATTCCAAGGCATAACATTTGGCTCTCCAAGCTTGAGAATATGAGATACTAATATTGAACCGAGCATTCATGTCAGTCATAATTTCATGTCCCCGATATACCCTGCCATTCAAAAACATTAACTCAGCCAGAAAACCACCCAACACCTTTTTGTTTGCATGTCTATGGTGAGGAAAAACTTGGGTTCTTGAACATGTATGTTTATCAATAAAAGTCCTAACTTGAAATATTTCGCAATCTTTTATCCTTTTTGCAATCATACGCCACCTACAGTTTTTACCAATTATACACTTTGTTTCGAAACGATCTTTGCTTGATTTGTTAACTTTTAGTTGATAGCCATCTTCCACACATTTTGTATACAAAGCTATCTTCAAGTCTTCCTTTGTATCAAAACAATCATCTTTCTTGATAACAATAACTTTTTTGTAACAATCAACTGCTATCTTTACCAACTCTTCTTCCGGTATCTGAAGTAATTCTGACATATTCCAGTTATACTCCCGTGGTATTTTCTTCTTTTTCTTTTCTTCGGGGACTTCTTCTTCTTCTTCTTCTTCTTCTTCAGGGTTATATGAATTACAGAATGGATGTTCAACATGTTCATTCACAGTCGTAACTTCCTCCTCATTATTATCAACAACATCTTCCTCGGCAGCGGCTATTTCATCATCAAAATTCGAGTATTGAACAATATCAAAATCATTACACGCAGGGTCTGTTTCTTCTTCTGAAACATCATCAAAATCCGAGTATTGACCAAGATCAAAGTCCGGGTATTGACCAAGATCAAATTTCAAATACTGACTAGTACTCACAATTTTTTCTGTTGGCTCATAATCGTCTAACTGGTCAATACGAAAACCAGAATTTGGTGCTGAAAGTTGATTGGGATTTGGATTAGGAAAAGGTTGTGGGTTTTGAGATTGTGTTTGATATTGTGTTTGGTATTGGAAATATGGTAAAACAAAATTTTCTTGGTGATGAAATTGTGGTGGAACCATTAAATTTTGAGGTTGATAACAACGTTGTACATTGTGAGCACCATAAACTGGGGTTGAAGAACTTAGTTGATTACTACCCGCTACTGACCCAACTCACTACTTCTAGGTTCAACAACATACAATGTAACATCATCTTCTTGTAAAACACTAATGTAAGCAATGAATCGTTCAACATCTTCATTGTCGGTTAACAAATAAACTTTACCTTTTCTCTGATAAGATAGCCTAAATCCACTTAGAGGCTCTAAATTTAATTTCTTTGTAACACGTAACATTAGAGTTTCATAAGTTAACTTTTTTAATGACAGTTTTAGTTGAAGATTCATGGGTAAAGGCATATATTGTAAAACACCTTGAACATTCTCCCTTGACCCTCCAAAACACAAATCTATCCAAACATGATCAACATTAGATGATTTCATTCTACAAATTGTAAATTAATTTACTAAACAAACAAGCTATAAACTACATATCATCACTAACTTAGAGAAAAACATACCTTTATTAAGTTGATAGTTGATAATTTGGGAGAGAAATCATTGAAAAATTATATAGAAATAAAATTATGTAAAAGAAAATTAGAGATGGGGAAGGATGTCGTTGGATATAGGAACGGATGTCGCCGGAAAGAGTGATAGATGGAGATGGAATGAGTTGCGATTTAGGGATTTAGGTTATGAGTTGCTGCTGCTGCGTAGTTATATACCCAAAACATTTTTGTTGCGAAACTAAAACTTGTTGCGAAATTAAAATTCGTGTTGCGAATTCGAAAATCGAGTTGCGAAAACAAAATTCGCGTTGCGAATTTGAAATTCAGTATTGCAAATTTGGAAATCACGTTGCGAATTTGGAAACTGAGTTGCGAAATTGGAGTTTGCGTTGCGAATTTGTTGGTCATTTTCGCAAATCCAAAAAAAGTTGGTTAAAATCGTATATTATAAGGCATTTTCGGTCACTGAAGTTATTTTCTCTAATCTTAAATGATTATTTTTTTTATCTATCCAAACCAATTTAAAATTTAATATTGAAATCCAATTGATTTAACCTAAATAAGTTTTAAATATTTTTCTCTCGAACATGAAATTTTAGTCTTCACCTATCGTTATTATTGTCGTCGCTTCAACAATTTCCTTCTATTGTTGTCATCACCAAACGATCTCTCTTCTCTCACTCTTTCTTTATGCACAATCCGATTTTTAAAACTCAAACCAAAAAATCAGTACATTATCGACATCAACGTTAATCATTGACCTTTTTTGTTGTCAGTGGTCTTCTTCAATTGACTTTGACCATCAAACGATCCTCCTTCTTCCTCTATGATTTCTTTAATTAATTTTTTTTTGAAAATGTTTCAGGAGTTATAAAATCACCTCGAACCTTTCAACTTTTTTTAATATCAACATAAGAAAATTAATAGTTAAATCACATTGATTTTAAATTATGTGAACTGGTTGTTGTCATCTCAATAAAATTTATGTGACGATGATTGTTGTTATCCCATCTTTCATCATTTAGATATATAAAATGACATTTTGATAATCTAAAATCATCAAATCCGAAAATAAACAAAGAAAATGAAGGAGAGAGGGTGAGACGAGGCTATAGAAAATGAAACAAAAAAACTTAACTTATATATATATATATATATTAAACAAAATATGTCTATATTCATTTTATTAAAACAATTCCATAAAATGAAATTAAATCAAAATATGATAAATTTCGATTTTTTACTCGTCTCTACATGTACACCCACATGAATACTTTGTAAATATAACTGCAACTGCTGACTCATTTTGGTGAATGAGAATATAAACCAGATGGTCAAGAAAGAAAAGGGATTTACAAGATACTTTCGATAATGTGATGTGAACATTGAGTAAATTGGACGTCTAAGAACCAGTCTCATCCTTTTGCTTTATGACGTACTAGACATGGGGAAGACCCAACTGTTCATGTGTTGAAGACAAATTAAATTAAACAAGGAAAAATAAAGCATATTTTGTCTTAATTTCTTGTGAGGCCATCCTCATTTTCAGCAGACCACTTAAGACATGCCATTGGTATTCCAGGTAGACAGTTCCTGAATCTAAAATGGTTCCTGGGGATGATGCACCAGAGGGAATACTCACACTTTTCTGCTTTATTGTTATGACAATAAGATTTACATGAAAAAAGCTGGTGGGTTCATCGCTTGGTTTACTTAGAAGTCAAGTCGGAACCTTTAATTTCAAAATACACATCAACAGAGTTAACAGATTCCACAACAGTTAAAAACCCAATCTTTTAAAATATATATGCTGGAAACTAGTACATGGAGCATCCTCTCGTACATTAACAAGATTCTGATATGAATTATGATGTTTGGATTGCTCCATAAAAGCACCACAAAAGAAAGATACAGTAACTCAGAAAATAACCAGTGAACCAAACCCAAATAAAAACAATACACCCAATCACGAAGACCTAAAACCCATGAACTTGGAAGGAGCAGGACCTAGGCTCTTATTGATTCCTGCATGAAATTTTAGCAACTACCGGGTCCAATTTCCACCCTCTGATCTGGGATGTTATAGAGTATGTTCAGATTCTGTTGTTGATGATTACCAATGATTGCGACGTCGTCCTTGGTTTCAGCAAATGCCAAGCAAACTTGAGACATGCCATTGGCTTTCCAGGTAACTGCATTTTCTTCCAAATTTAAATCCAAATTTTCAAAATGTAGTACCATTGTAGGTATTTCCGGCTTTTCATACCCCTCCAGGTTATAGCACGTATCCAGTACGTTATCAAGACGAGCACTCGGGTATCCCCACATCAATCTTTTGAACTGGGTACGCAATGCCGAATAGACCGACGAAGGTAGACGGGTAATGACGGTTCCCGAATCTATAAAGGCACTCGGAGATGATCCATCCGAAGAAATCTCCATTCTTGACTGCCCAATTGTCATGGCAATAAGATTTACAAAATAATGGGTGGGGTCAGAGCCTGTTAGAAGCGGTGTGTAAGAACCGGAAAACGGGCACTTCTCTTGAGCTTTCTCACCAAAATAAACATATCCCATTGAGTTATCAGAAGTGGGAAGACAATAACAAAATACATTGTCAAAGATGGATGTAAGAGAAAAGCTACCAAATTCAATGCTAGTGCTGACCAGGCCTAAGCCCAGTATCCCATCTTCTTTGTTGAAATCTCCAGCCTGCTTATCGGAACAAAGGAAAACAAATCCAGGAATCTCATACTCCTGCTCTATGGAAACCGTATCGGCCACAAAAAATCCAACTGAGTAGGAATGGTCCATGTAGTTTTGAGTATAATTACACCACGGCCAACATGGATCAATTGAGGAAGTTGCGGAAAAAGAAGGATAATACAGGGAGTCGTTGTGTTGTTGTGGACAAGAAGACCCCGTACAAAGTTGGCACCGTACCCAGGTTATGTAACTGCCGGTGTCCAAAACCAAATTGAAATATTTTGCGGGTGTGCCGAAACCAACTTGCACCAAATAATTGGCAGCACCTACTGAATCGTTTAGAAGATCAAGTCCTGTGGCGGCTTCTCCTTTCCCCTTCCTTTTTCCACCGCCTGCACGCCTTTTCCCTCTCCCTTTCCTTTTCCTTTTCCGACCGCCTGTTCGCCTCTTGTGTGACCTAGAATTCAAAACATGAACCCTGTGTTCATCTTGGACCAGAATCTGGCTTGAAGTGGCGGCTGTCCTGTTCAGGCCGAATGGTGAGCAGGGTCCATATTTATGGACTACCCGCAAACCTGTCTCGGGACCTGAAATAAAGGGTATTTTATTCTACATATTCTAATATAATAATCTTGAAGCACGGGATGAGTAGTAAAGATGAGGGCGTTACTAGTTTAATAACCCTCAAAAATTCATTTTGGAACAATATCCCCATCGACTATTAGTTAGAAATATATATATGAGAGTGAGAGAAAGTTTATTAACAACCCACATGTAAAGCACATTAAAAATATATTTTTTAATTAAATTTGACAAAAATAATTCTATAAAAATTATAGATGTAAATTAATACACTTTAACTCCATGAGTTGAAAAGCTTAACAATGTTAATTTATATAGACATAATGAAGTGTTTAAGCTTGTTTGTTAGCAATGTGATATAAAAGTTAAAAAGTTAACATGGGTTATTATATTTTTTATTCATGTAATTTTTTATTTTTTTATTTTTACTTAATCCATTAAATTCTATTATTAAATTATATATCAACTAAAATTAAATATTTTTTATAATTAAATTTTTTTTTTTGTATCTTTAATGTTGATAAAAATAACTTTTAATGAAAATAAATTTATCAAAATATTTAATTTTAATTCATATATGGGTTAAGTAAAAATAAAAAACTAAAAGTACATAAGAAAAAGATAGAAGAATTCATATTAGCATTTATCACACATTGCTAAAAAAATATAGCCTAAACATTCCATTATGTCTATATAAACTACCACCATTATGCTTTTCAACTCTTAGAGCTAAAATGTATTAAATTACATCTTTAGTATCTATACTGTTATTTTTTTTCAAATTTGATTAAAGTGCATTTTTTAGATATGCTGGGTTGTCAATGGAACTCGCCTTTTGTTGAAAGTGAATTTGTTTTGATATAGCCGATAAATTTAATTTCTCGTTGTCCTCGCGTTTTGTAGAATGTGAGATCTTTTTTATCAAATTTAATATTAAACCTCGTGTTTTGCAAAAAATGAAATCTTTTAATCGCGTTTTGCAAAATGTGAAGTAATCTTACTAGCAGTTTAGGGTTATTAAACTAATAACGTCAAAGATGAGAGTAAAGTACATTACCCGAGCAGATGGATGGCTTGCTTTTCTCCGCCACAGTAGCACCGTAACCAAATGGATTATTAAAAGAGAAAAAGAGGACATAGCACAAGAAAATATGAGCAATAGCCAACAACGCAGAGGAACCATTCATATTTCTTATGACTGCACTTATATCTAACAGGTTAGGTATATATTGAAGGAGGGATCAAATGGGATCTTTACCAGACTAAAAGATTCAGAAGTTGGGAGAGCTATTTGGTCAAGGAACACGCGGAAGACTTTGAGGCCTAAAAATCCAAGTTTTGCTGTAAAAGAACAATCAATCTCTTTACAAGCAGCTTTGTTCGGTACTACACGGCCAAATTATGTCACAATTCAATTTAACCAGTGGTACATGAGTTGTAAATCTAATTAAAGATTTTAAATTTCTTGTTCAACGTTAATTTTGAGCCACTCGAACAGTAGTAATATACCGTGACCGTCTTGTGTTTTGATTTTGCCCCTTGAATCACGTCTAGCTGAAATGGACCTGACGTTCCATTATCAATTTGTTGCTTAATTTTCCCGAACCCAAACACCGAGGTAGACCTCCACTGAGAATTGACTAAAGGGAGTTTACAACACGAGTGAACTGGACGTCAGAAAATTACATGTATGTTTTATTGATTGGAAAATTATCGTGGAGGATTAAAATAGAAAATTTTAAGTTTAAGGATTAATTTAAAAAAAACAATAATATTGGTATAGTTGAGAAAAATAAACTTTATATTTGATTGACAATAGGGTGCAACTTTTACACAATGAATACAGAAAAGGAAGCAAAGAAGCTAAGAGAAAATATTGTTGGTAAGATACCAAAATATTTATCTTTTATCGAAGATGACAAATTTAAAAATACTTATAAATATTATTTTTTATTTTAAAATTAGATCAATTATTATATTTAATATTATAAATTTATCAACTATTTTTTATGTTTGATGTCGTGAGGACAATTAAGAAAACGAAAGTTCTATATGAAGAGATCTTTAAATACTTTGATTGCCAAAACAAATCGGAGTATGTATATTGGGCTATTTTGGAGCTCACATATATTTCAAGTCATAAAGTCGTACTACTAAAGCATCATGATCGAACTCTCGTTCATATAAAGTTACTGAAAGATGAGTTTATTTGTAGTATTTATTTGTCCAATGATCTTGTTATAAATACTACTAAATTATACAACATCATTGAGATGCCATAACAACTTTTACGTAAATTATAGTACGGAATCCTTTTTATAAATGAACAGAGCGTTTAATAAACTACTTGTGAAGCGTTCATATAATGTTTGTTTATATTCGTTTGTTAAGTTAAATAAACAAACATAAACAAAAATTTTACATTAATTTAATAAACAAACAAAAGTGTGTTTGGCTAATTTATATTCACAAACAAACTTATTTTTAAGCTCGTTTATCGACTCGTCGGTTTATGTTTATGAACAAGCTCATTTAATGACTCATTTACTTTTTTAATTTTTATATTTTAAATATTGATGAATGTGGGACTAAATTGAACACATTGTGAAATTTGGAATTTAAACTATGAAACTTAAGGATTTTAAGCGCTGACCATTTTTAGCTTGCAAATGAACATGTTTAAATTTATAAACTACCATGTTTGCAAACATAAGCGAACATGTTTGTAAACGCTAAACAAATAAATATGAATACTTTCAAAAAAAATAAACGGACAAATACAAATACATTCAAAAATAAGTAAACAAATGCGAACACAACCTTATTTGTTCAAACTTGGTTGATTTACACGCCACTTGAATTTGCAAAAGGTATAGGATTTATCAAAGAGATTAGCATTTCACTGGGAAATTCATTTGAGATGCAAAATTAGCAATGCGGGCAAGATTTCAACACTGTTTATGTGAGAAGAGCCGTTAGTATCTTCTTCTTCCTCAATGAATGAGAGAAACAATACTCCGCAATTCAATAACAATATGTAATTAGTGTTCGGTGAAGATTCAAATATTAACAAGAAGAAAGAATTGTGTTAAAACATTTAAATCCAATCCATCCATGTTCCGTTTAGTAGACTGTAATTTTTTTTCCATCTACGAAAATCGGAGCCCATGTTATCATCTAAAACCAATTAATCCCCTCCGAAGAAGACCCGGATTCTCGTAACGTGAAAGGAAAACAAAAAGAAAGAAAGAATGAAGTTAAGAAAATTTTAAGAAAAAAAGGGTTTAAGATTAACCTCTGCCGCATCGTTTGTCATTATCATCGCCACCCCCGGATTTACGTACTCCGATCCCATTTCCTGCCGTTGTTTGAATCCATGGCGTTACTGCATTAACCTTTGTTGCATAATTTTTCATTATCTTCGACGTCATCGGAATCATGGTGATTAACCTTAGAGAGTCCTATTGCACGGGGGCCGGCGCTGTCTCAACCGGGGACGTACCCGAGTCAACCACAGTCGCAGATGACATCTCCATCCTACAGACCCTAACCGCACCGATTAAATTTTCTGGTAATTCGTCCTCGGTCTGTCCTTCCACCACAAATCCCATATCGATTATTACACTCGTCGCGTATCCCAATGCGAGGTGTAAAATCGTGTTGGCAATCGCTGAGCTTGCAATGTCAACGTCGATTTCCAAGTAATTAGCTCCCCTATGATAATTACACGTCAAAGCTTTACCTATCAAGCACGCCGCATAGTTGCCCACCGTTCTTTTGACGACCCACGGTCCCTCAACAATTCGGTTAACCATCTTGAACCGTTGATTCCTGAAGGCATCGTCGCCATGAACGAACTGATAAAGTAACGAATCGGAAGGGATAGGATCCTCCGTGGCAAAATAAAAAACAGCACTATAATTATCTTTACTCGGGACCTGGATATTGACGGCAAAAACGAAGGATTTCATAGATTCGCCATCGGATTGAGCTTTTTTAAGGGCTTGAGAAACACGGTTATCGGGACGGGAGAGTACGTTTTCGAGCTTGGAAGCGGACTTGAGCCAATCCATACCGATGGGAGAGAGTAAGTAATCCCCGGCGGGGCATTTCTGACGATTGGTCAGGTAGGTTTTAGAACGGAGTAAGAAGAGATCACCTGGAGGAGAAGCCCAACCGTTGGTTCCGTTATCAACGTCAACTTGTGGCAAGGCTCCACCGTCGATAGACTCGGTCATCCAATCAGGAATCGACGTAGTATCATCCGTTGATCGGGATCTAGTGTATTCGAAGTCGGATTCCTCTGCGGAGCCCTCGTGATCTTGGTTAGTCGGGCACATCTTTTTTTTTTAAGAAAGACGAAGAAAAAGAACTCTTCTTCTCGCCGTTCTTTCACCCTCCTTTTTAATAGGAAGACAAAGTTGAGGCAGAGATCAAAAAGGTCGTTTTTTTGGTTATATTTGGAGAAGAGCCGGTTTTAAAATAAGGAGAGAGGGAGGTGATGGGAGTGGCGGAAAGTGCCCCAGGATTCCCCCCGAAACTACGATAGTGCCACTTTATTTATTACGGGGGCAGGGCACCTGTGAGGCTATTACTATAAATTCTCAAATTTCTAATCCTTGAATTTGCAGAGTAATTAAACAAGTTTAATACACTAGCAACACGTCCGTAATTTTAGTCCCTGTGCTACTCCACCAGAAACGATCCACAAATAAGGGAAAATCAAGAGAGGAGAATATTTTTTTTACAAGAGGAAAATATTTTTATTAATTAAAATATTTTTATTAATTAAAATATTTTTATTAATATTTATATGTAGCATGATAGATATTTTCAATATTTATATATTTTATAAATTTAATTTTAATTATAAACTATTTCACAGACAAATAAAAGTTCTTTTCTTTTGAAAAATTAGACAAATATGTGGTTAACATGTAATCAGCTTGCCTTTTGTTGAGAATAACTAGCTGGTTACATTAGCTAGTAGGCTACACGTGTATTGTGTTGATTGGAGATTAAGTGAGGAGGTTAGGTTGTTAGTTTTCAGTTAGATTATTAGCTTGTTGCATGTGTCAGTTGCGGAAAATATAGAGTATTATATAAAGTATAGTAATGTTTATTGAATTTTTTTAAAGTTTTATTTAGGTCTTTTAATTTTTAAAACTTATACTATAGTCTTTTAATATTTAGTCTATTTGTAATATGGTCTCGATGTAACCAGTCGTTTGATGTCGTTACATTGTCGTTAGTACGTTTGTAATATGGTCACTGAACATTTCAGGCGCTTGCATTTAGGTCTCCCAACTTTTAAAACTTGCAACACAGTCATCAATTTCATTATAAATCCCAAATTCCTTTTCGATCTCGAATTTCCTTTTTCGTTTCTTTCTTTTCATTTCCAGCGTAACTTTTCAGTCGAAGATGCATGAGAAATTCTAATCTAACTTTGAATTATGTGGAGGTGTTGACTTGAATAAGGGTTCATTAATTGAGAGAAAACACGACCAAGGGACTATCGGGACCATCAACAATTCAAGGTTTAATGTTAGATACAGGTCATCTCAGGTGAAACATAGATGTTCGATGAAATGCTTGTGAGAAAAAATGGGGTTAGAAATACAGAGTTAACAAATATTACTAAGATGAACTAAGTATTATTGTTGAAAGTCACCAACAAAGCTGGAATTATTTTGTATAAATGACATATAATAATTTCTTCGTTTAATCCTTGTGGTTAAAATTTTTCAGCAGATGATCAAATATAATGAAATCTCAAACAGCGCATTCACCTCTCAGTCTCTTTCGCAACTCGAAAGGCATAATGACAGGGTCAAGTAGCTGCTCCAAATATACTACCCTGTCATGATGTCTTTTGAGTTGTGTGCATGTAAAATTGTCTTCTAAAGTTATAATTCAATACAATTCAACTGTAAAATTTCCAAAACATGTAAAAAATCCAATTCGCTCACGATATATCAGTCCCATAATCAACATAAACTTATTAAAAAGAATACGAGCTCACAGGACGCCGAAAACCACAGGTCGGATCAATGCAATTCCCAGTAAATTAGTATCGGCAGTCTCTTGGATTGACCTGCCATCATCTTTCATTTGTCATTGGTTGTTTTATTTTGTTTTAGTATTCTGAGGAGTTCAACTTCACAGCTTCACTTTAAAGGAAGGAAAAGTTTTAAGGGTAGATGTTGGGAGTGTAGTTTATGGTGAAAAAATGTTATATGATATTGCATGAAACTGTTGCCACAGCATGCTTTTGCATTTGATCCTGTTAGTATAACCTTTTGCTGCACTTTGTCCTAATGATTTATAAGTGGTTATTTATATCTATAAAATTCCTTATGAGTACAGGCCATGGTCAAACTTGTGATCAAAATGCTAAGGATGGGACTACCAACAAAACCAAGACTGCAAAGGGAATAAAAGTGCCAAAAATATATTGGGACCTGACACGAAAAGCTGTGCTTACAATGGAATGGGTAGATGGAATTAAGCTTACGGATGAAACTGCCCTGAAGGAGGCATGTCTGAACCACAGGGAACTGATTGACCAGGTTTAATTTGTTGTTTTGTTTGAGCTTTTGGCCATTCAGTAGTCATTAGTTTTGCTCCTTATATGGTCTAACTGTGTTTAATCTGACTTTATCCACCTGTTCATGGGATGTTAGGGAGTATACTGCTCTTTGAGACAATTGCTTGAGGTTGGGTTTTTCCATGCTGATCCACATCCAGGAAACCTTTTTGCTACAAGCGGTGGCTCCCTTGCATATTTAGACTTTGGGATGATGGGGGATATCCCTCGCCATTACTGTGTAGGACTTATTCAAGTGGTAAGAGACTAAGAGCCATTTTATTGATAACCATACCAGGTTGCTTCTTTAAATATCGTCATGGTAGTCATGACAGGTCCTCTATGCATGCCGTTAGTTTTTCATTATATGATGGTCTGGATAAATTAAGATTACATTCACCATTGAAAAAAAACTACGGCACAAGCTTGCATGAAGCTAAATAATATTTCAAAACTGGAGTTTCATCTTTTTCCTCTAACTCTTGAGCAGAAAAACATTTTTATTTTATTTTATTAAAGATGACTCAACTAGTGCTTGCATAACATGTGCAAGTTTATAGTGGTATCTTATTCATGTTGATGTGATAAAAATAATGGAATGAATAAACCAATAGTTATTAATCTAGGCTCTAGCCTCTAAGTAGTCTTTACCTAGTTAGTGTTTACTATTTCATGCACATATCATAAGCCTCCTTTTGCATAATCGATTCTTATAGCTTGTTTTATTATTTTGTAATCCTCGTTTTGCTTCTTTTCATGTTTGTTATTTTATATATGAAGAATGTTGATGTTGAGTTTTGCTAGTTATTTCCATGAGGTTGTGTTCTTGTTGATAAGTTATTTTTTCTCTCAGCTTGTTCACTTTGTTAACCGTGACTCTCTGGGATTGGCAAATGACTTTCATTCATTGGGATTTATTCCTGAAGGAGTTGATATACAATCTGTGGCAGATACGTTACAGACATCGTTCGACAAGGGTACTCAACAATCTCAAGACTTCCAGGTTTTTGCCTGTAGTCGCCTTACCTTATTATTGAGATTCATCTCTTGGCAAGTAGATATAATAAGCACTACAAAATTCCACTCTTGTAGATTGAGTGGTTCTAGAATTTGTCCGTTATGATTGTTATTTATTTGGATAATTAAGATAATGATATTTGACGGTTATAGGGAAATATTTACATGAAAGATGGTAAGACGCCTGCTTAAACATAATTACCTTGTTGTGTTGCATGATAATAGTAAGTGCCCATTTGCAATGTCTTATGATGAAGCCAAAATAGCATTTTCTGCATTCAAGCAATTGGGTTGCAAAGTGAGATTTATTTATCAACCTCTTTAAGATCCATGTGTATTATCGTCTGCTTGTATCTCAAAAGTTTGCATGACAGCTCCTATAAGACCCTTTTTTCCCTCTGCTGGTTACTTGTCTGGTCCATGTTGTAGCTTCTGTCTTTACTATTTTAAAAGTGAAAGCATGACGCCTGTAATTTCTTTCTGTTTCTTTGGATTACAGAGTATAATGAATCAGTTATATGATGTCATGTATGATTTTAGCTTCTCTCTCCCCCGGACTATGCTTTAGTGGTAAGAGCTCTTGGTTCACTAGAAGGAACAACAAAAGTTCTTGATCCTGATTTCAAAGTTGTTGAAAGTGCATACCCTTTTGTGATTGGGAGGCTTTTGGCTGATCCAAATCCTGACATGAGAAAATTTTTAAGGGAACTTCTCATCTGTAATAATGGATCCATTAGGTGGAACCGCCTAGAGCGCTTGGTAGGCCTTCTCTCTTTGTTTTAGAAATGCAGGCTAGTCCATATATAAAGACAATTGTCCATTTGAGTTCAGAATCTGTCTTCATACCGTTGATGACTGGTGTTCATCTCATGTCAGATAATTAGCAGCCATATCAGAACAGGCATCTGAGTTGTCTGAGGAGCCTCCGAAGTCAGACGACAAAGGTTTGCATCACTTGGGGTGGAAGTCATTTGATATGCGTTCTGTTGTTGCAGCCACAGAAGATCTCCTGCTTTTCATTCTATCTGAAAAGGGCCCAACTAGTTCGAGTCTTCCTCCTGTGGGATATAATTAGAGCAGCAGATATATTCCTACAGGATGACGTTATGGGTTGTAGAGTAGATGCTGAAAATAAAGCAAGGAAAACAACAAAACCATAGGTTTGTGATGTCTTCTTGATTAAAATCCCAAACACTGAAAGTATAGGTTTCAATTAACTTGAAACAAGGTTTGTGTTTAATACGTGTTTGTTGGTATGGTGTAATATTGCAGGACCATGCAATTCTAACAAGTCATAAATTGGTTTGGATCACTCCGTTCAGCGGTGAAGTTGGCCCCAGAGGTATGGACGCCAATGTTCATCCGCTTAGCATTGAACCCACAAACCCATATTTTTTTAGCAGACCTGATATCAGCCTTGATGATGCGGCTCAATAACAAAGTTCCAGAGACTTTCTGGCTCTGTATGTCTACACAAATATACAGATGGGTAAAAGCCCAAAGATCACATAATCCTGTTGGTCAAAGAAAATGGCAGTAGCCCGCTGCTTGAAAAATGGGTGCCCAATTTTTTAATTAAATTGTAATAGGGTTAATTACACATTTAGTCACTTTATACTTTAAGGTATTTACAAGATTAGTCCTCAAGCTTCAACTATAAATACCCTAGCTCAATTAGCTTCTAAATCATCCCAAAATCTTTTAGTTATCTCTCAAGTGTGTTTTGTAAACACGGCAAA